TTAATTTTTCCAAAAATTAAAAGCTCAAAGCATTTATCATACATTTTCCATAAAAACTCATCAAGTAAGAACTAGAGGTCAAAAAAAATGACTAAGGTTTTAAGGCGTTTTAAGATGTTGATATTTTATAATTTTATATGCGCCTAAAAAATATTGAAATAGCTTGAAAATATTATATTTGAAAATTAAAAAATACAAACTTGGTTAATATTTATATTTTGTCGTGTTATTTAAATGATAATTTGTTTANAAATACGATAACTTTAATATTTAAATCATTTTATTGTAACAAGTCTGACTTTAATTTCATAGTGTTTTATTTAGAGATTTTTAGCCATAGTTTATTAGATTACTGTCAATAAATTATATATTTTTTAAATTATATTACATAAGATACTATTGCAAGTATTGCGGAATCTCTATCTTAATATTCTCTATTTAAGACATATTTCAAAAAAATTATTTAACTGATTTTGTAAATCCTAAATTTATTTACCAACGTAAACTCAATTCCTGAATATAGTGGCAAAGAAAGTAATTGAGATTGTAAAAAACGGAACATTTAAAGGTTAAAAACTAAAACTATAAAAGATATTTATTTTGTACTCACCATAAGGAGTATCTTATTCTTATTGGAGCTCTAAACTCCAATTAATCAATACTGAAGTTTCATAGGTTAATTGCTAAAGGAGGCTGATCATCTGGGATCAAAAGGATTCTATTGGTCCTACTTCTTATTAAAAAACTATACATATATATAAGGAGGAGAAGCCCATAAGATAGAGAGCATGGCTGAGAAGATGAGAAGAGTAGAGGAGGACAAAGCTATAGTAAGAGTAGAAATGGAGACGCTAGCTATAAATAAAAATTTATTAGATTTATTTTTAAAAGTGGGATACACCACAATATTCAATATTTTATTCAAACCTTGTTAGCTCATAAATTACTTTTCTCTTTAAAAACTTAAACTTCACACAGAAAAAGAAAAAATGTAAATAAAAATGTATATATGCTGAAGATCAATTAAATCTATCTTTAAAATACAATATGCACAATATAAACAATCTTCTATCTCTATTTTGATTTTATCAATATTAAACAAAAATCTTAAATGATATGAAACAAAGAGATAGAATCAATTGTGAAACATACACTATAAACCACCTTGACAAAAAATAATACATGCTGCCTCATTTTCATCCTGTTATATTACACTTCTTAAAACATCAATAGGAAGTGGTGTATTATCATTTCTATTTTTATTTAAGACGTATGGAATAGCAACAGCAACAATCTCAACTGTAGTATCAGGAACATTTGCAGTTATTGGATTGGTATTGTATGTATTGTGTGCTCATGAAATTGGACGAAGTGCAACACTATCAGAATTAGCATTAGTAAGAATGCCATATACAAAAATTATGGTGGATTTCTCTGTATTTCTCAAATGTTTTGGTGTAGCTCTTTCATATCTCATAATAGCTCGAAAACTTCTTCCACCTTTTATATAGAAACAGTTTTTGGTCGTGCACATATTGTAAATCCAAACATTCTTCTCGTTCTATTTCTTGCATTCGTGGGTCCGTTCTGTTACTTTCAGAAATTAGACAAGCTTAAATATATATCTTTTTGTGGTATTTTGGCAATATTTTTTGTAATAATAGCCACAATTTATAGGTATTACTATATAAGTAAATTATATACACCTGTAGTGTCTACTTTATTACACCAATATCAACTGATTACTTAGGTGGATTTGGAAAATTTGTATTTTCATTTACGTGCCATCAAAACATTTTTGCAGTACACAGTGAAATGGCCAATAATTCTGTGAAGCGAACAAATCGATTGATTCTTGCAGTAGCAACCTCAGCCCTTGTTATGTATATCACATTTGGATTATTCAACTATTTATTATATGGAGTCGCAGCAAATACAAACATAATAAGAAATTACCCCAATGATGTTCTTGCATCAATAGTTCGTGGCCTCTACATTGTTGTTGTGGGAGTTTCTTATTCACTACAAGTAAATCCTTGTAGAGCCTACTTCGTAAAAATGATATCATATGACAAACAGCGAGGAAAGGCTGTCGTTAATATTTGTGTAACAACTCTTATAATTGTATTGACATATTGTATTGCAGTGTCCGGAATGAATCTTGGTATTGTTTACACAATTGTTGGTGCTACAGCATCAACATTTATTCGTTTGATATTTCCTTCTCTTTTTTATTTCAATATGGACATAAATAGATCTGTTATGTTGGACATTCTATCGTATCTTTCCTTTTTACTTGGAGTTTTTGTATTTTTGGCTGCTATATTGAATGTTGGTAGAAAGTATCTGTAGAATATTCTTATAGCAAGAAACATGACTATTGAATTACGGTTTTAAGAAGAATTAATATATACTACTCTGGATCTATTTAAGATATAAGATTGCACAACGGGCTATATTTTATGAAACGTGCAATTATATTTATAGAGATTTTCAATTCAAACCACTATAGAACATATTGTCCCTTAAATTTATGAGCAGTCGAAATAACATTTATATATATA